ACAACCTTGTCTGTAGTTGGTGACAACGTGGAAGTAGTTATTGATAAGTTAAACAAAGCCCTAGCAAGTATCAACCTGTGGTGCAGAAACAACAAGCTGACCATACATACAGGGAAGTCAGAAGCCATGATTTTGACTCATAAACCTTTCAGTGGACCCTTAAAGCCTGTTATGTTAGGAAACAAGGTCCTAGATTTTGTGACTGAAACTAAGTGTTTAGGAATTATTATTGACAATCAGTTGTCTTGGCTTAGCCATATTGAATTAATTTGTAGGTCCTTTGGCCAGAAAGTAAATCAGTTAAAAAGGCTCAAGTATTTAACAAAGGATACCTTACAGTCTTTTTATTTTACGAGTATTATTCCCACTGTCACTTACTGCAATTTAGTTTGGGGTACCTGCTCACCTACATTATTGCATGAAGCGGAGCATATCCACGCCAGGACAGCCAAGATTATCTATAGGCTATCTGATGTTAGCAACCAAGAAGCTATAACAATAGCTGGATGGTAATCGATTAATTCCATGTACAAGAGAAAGTTACTGACTTTTATGTATCAAGTTTACAAATCTGAGCTACCAGATAACATAATTAGGCTTTTTAGTTGTAGCAACTGCTGTTATGATCTACGCAATAGCATTAAGTTTGAGGTTCCCCGCTTTAACCTAGAGGTGGGCAGGAATTTATTAAGATATAGGGGAGCTTTGTTCTGGAACTCCATTCCAGACAATTTAAATAGAGCACCAAGTCTAAACATTTTTAAAAAGCTTCTTAAAAAAAACAGCCCCTTGGGCGAGAATATAAATTTCAACAAGATGAATTAGTATCTTAATTGTTCTTAACTTTTAGTCTTTTATCTTACTACTGTGTTCTTATTCTTTTTATATACCTATTTTCTGTACATTTTTTAAAATTTTATTTGTATATTAGCAATAGATAGTTTATCAGCAGGTCATCAGCTTTAGCTGCCTTTTAACTTAACCTGCTTTACCAAATAAACTATGAATGAATGAATGAATGAATGAAAGGGGTTGTTATAACGAGCGGTTTTAAAAGCAGGGGTCATTAAAGTAAGGGGTCTTATAACCAGGGGTTCTTTCAACCAAGGGTCTTACAACATGGGATTCTTACAACTAGGGGTCTTACAACCAGGGGTTCTTACAACATGGGGTTCTTATGATCAGTGGTTTTAAAACCAGGGGTTGTTACAACCAGGGGTTCTTACAAGCAGGGGTTCTTATAACCAGTGGTTTTAAAACCAGGGGTTCTTACAACCAGAGGCTCTTACAACCCGCGGTTTTACAACCAGGGGTGTTTACAACTAGGGGTTTTATAACCAGGGATTCCTACAACCATGAATCTTACAACCAGGGGTTCTTACCAGCAGGGCTTGTTACAACCAAGGGTTCTTACATCCAGGGATCTTAAACAAGGAGTGTTGCATGTCTTACTGGCAGGGCTCTTACAACTAGAGGTCTTCAAACCAGTGGCCTTACAATCATGGGTCTTAGAACAAGCGGTTTTGCAACCAGGGGTGTTATTACAACCAGGGGTGTTGCAGCCAGGAGTCTTATAAGGAGGAGTGTTTTATCTAGGGGTCTTACAGCCCGAGGTCTTACAACAAGGGGTTCTTACAACCACGGCTTTTACATCTAGGGGTTCTTACAACCAAGGGTTCTTAAAACCATGGTTTCTTACAACCAGGCATCTTACATTCAGGGGTCTTACATGCAGGGGTCTTACAACCAGGGGTTCTTGCAAACGGTGGGGTTCTTACAACCAGTGGTTGTTACAATTAGGGATCTTACATTCAGGGGTTCTTACAACCAGTCGTTCTTACAACCAGGGGTTTTTATAACCAGGGTTTCTCCTATCCAGGGCTTTCTACAAGCGAGGGTTCTTACAACCAGGGTTCTTAAATACAAGGGTTCATACAACAAGGAGTTCTTACAAGCACGGGGTCTTACAACGAGGGGTTCTTACAGCCAGGGTTGTTACAACCAGGGGCTTTTACAGTTAGGGGTCTTACATCCAGGTGCTCTTACCGTTAGGGTTTCTTATATTCAAGGGTTTTCTTAACCAGGGAGTCTTACAACGAGGGGTTCTTACCATCAGGTTTCTTACAACCAGGGGTCTTGCATCCAGGGGTTATACAACCAGTGGTCTCACAGCTAGGGGTCTTACATCCAGGGGTCTGATAACCAGGGGTTTTACAATAGGGTCTTTAAATCTGGGGTTTTGGAAGCAGGGGTCTTATAACCAGGGGTTTTTACAATCCATGGTCTTTCATCCAGTGGTCTTACGACTATTTGTGTTACAACCAGATGTCTTACATCCAGGGGTTATTTAAGAAGGGGTCTTACAGTCAGGGGTCTTTAAATTAGGGGTCGTACAGCCAGTAGTTTTGGACGGAGGGGTCTTACATCCGGGGGTGTCATAACCAGGGTCTTCCCACCAGGACTCTTATAACCAAGGGTGTTTTATCCAGGGTTCTTGCAACCAGGGGTTTTCAACTATCTGTTGTTGTTACACCAGGAAGATAGTGTGGAGGTAGCATCTTTTTGGTCTTCACCCGCGTTTTGGCTAAATTCAAAAAAGAGCTCTCCTCGAACGTAGTGGTCCTCAATTAAGCTCTCTATCTTACTAAAATATGCCTCGCCAGGTATTTCGGCCTTACTGTTTCGGCCGCTCTGAGCAGCTGCAAGTTTTAAGAAATGAATCGGTAATAGTAGATTTGGAGCCTTGGCAAAAATATTTTCTGCCACACCAACACTCCAAGAAATAGACGTTTTTAACAGCATCGTTCAAGAGATTTACGTGTCCGCGTTTTATAACAAGCAATTAGGGTTTAGGACCTACCTGCTTGAACAACAGCAAATGCTATGGACGCTGAACAACAAGATTGATAATCTGTCAAACAAAGCGAATCTTTTACCGAAGAACTAGAAATATGGAGTGTGCCAAAACATTAACAAGTTCATTTCAGGTATAAACGGCTGCAACAGCTGTGACGTTGCAAAATGCAAGTCTTTCTTAAGCACTGTAATCGAAACTTTGAACAGTGCCTCTGCTTTACTGTCATCGATTTATAATGACAAACGAAAGGAGCTGTTTTTAGAGAACCATTCCCTAGAGTCATTCGCAGCTGATCAGCTCGCCTATTTAGAGGAAGCACAGAGGCAAATCATCACGGTACACCAAGAACTTCAGTCCGCCTCCAACAAGTTGACAACAGCGCATATCAACCTGTTGAAGAAGCATCACCTTTGTCAAAGTAGCAGTCAGCCTGCTGATATATGAATCAGTATTGTTCAAAAGAAAACATACTTTATCCAGGTATTGTGATTTGTAAATAACGTTTACTAAATCCTATTCAACATCCTCATCTGTCTCATCTTGAGTCCTATCATCAAATTTAATCTCTTCAGTAGCATGTACAGCCTCGTCATTCCGATTCCTTACGGTATATTGACTTTGAATTTTGTGCCCTTAAAATGGCCGCCACTTGAAGGAAAAGAAGAGGCAAACGCAAGGAGGCTGAATAACCTGCAAGCTGAGCAAGGCCAGGCGAACGAAGAAATCACCTTGCTTCGCAATCACTCAAATTTACATAGGCAGACAAACAAGAAGTTAATGAGAGAGTGAGCACGTGCGAGGAAGACCAAATGAGAAACGAAGACTAGCTAACAAGACAAAATATTTACAGCAGACGATGGAACGTAACCGTAGAGAGAAAACTGTACAGACCTTGTCAAGGATTTAAATGTCATCTACTTTAAAGATTAATGAAGACAAACTCAGGTCAACGGCAAAGTTTGCGGAGTGCACCGTTTAGGTAGGTCTAAACACGGCAACAGATACGCCCAGACCAGTTATCGCTCGTTTTACTTGTCGAGAAGACCGAGACATGGTTCGGCGACAAAGACATAACCTTAAAGGCAGTAGTTTTAAGGCCTGTTTACATGGAGTTTGGGGACACCAGGTAGGCTTGGTAACCTGCTTACTGAGGTGGGGTAACCCGCCTGTCCATATATAATCTCTCATTTTAATTTGATCACGTTTACATGATAAGTGGGGTGACCATATCAGAGTTTATTTGGAAAGGTGGGTTACCCTAACTTAGCGTGTTACCTCATCTACCTGGTGTCCCCCGCCTCCATGTAAACAGGACCTTAGACTCGCCGAAGACTTACCCCAAGCTGTTAGACAATTGAGTACCCGCATTGAAAGAAGCGAGAAAGTTGAGCGGCACAAAGGCCACAATCAAAGGAGATCGTCATATTGTAAACGGAAAAAGGTATACTTATGACCTTATCCGAGAAGAATGGAAAAGTAATAAGAAGGCCGAAGAAGATAATTCCTAAAATTCTCGGACTCCTCCTGGTTGTGCTTTGGTGAGAGCTTGTGAATTTTAATGGGCTTCATTCGGAGTGCCAGAGAGCAAATTGCGTAGATTAAGCCGTTCGTATTCACTAATTTAAATTCTATAGACGTTTCAATATATCCAGCTTGGGCGGCGATTAACAATGTTTTCTTCAAATGGAATACAAAATCAATCCCCAAAAGGTAAATTACAATACCCCATCTCTGTCACATTAATGAGAAAACTGTTAAATTTGATGTGCCATGCATGGGTCGTCACCTGACTTTCCAAGGTAAGTTGTAACAATAAAAGAGAACGGTAGAACAAGTATTCCACCTAACGATAGATAGACGTTTTATATAAATACCAAGGATTAAACAATACAAAAAAACCTCACTTCGAGACTACTCTTTTACAATAAAAGGCCAAACCTTTGTGGAGAAAAATTACCAAATGCAACTATACGCAATGAGTCTAACTTTAATAACTTGAAGTCTTTGCTAAAGACTTATTTTTTATTTTAGCTTGTCATTAGCTTTGGTTTTTAAAATAGCTAGATATACGTATACGCCTGTACACTTTCAAAAACCTAGGTTTAATTTGCTCGGTGTGTTTAAGTCTCAAGTTGTTAGTTGCCTAATTTTCAGGGCGGGCCTTTGTAGCTTCTTCATAAGTTGGTGGAGGACATTCTGGTACGTCTTTAACCTCCATATATACAGGGGGCCCAGTTACGGCAATAGCATCAGGGGTTAGACCGTTGGAGTGTTCGCTCTGTGTGTGAATGGAGGTCGTTTGCACTGATGCTACGGGTATTTCAACCAAACTCGTTGCAACATTCCTTCTTTCCAGTGCATTAACTCTTCCTATTGAAGGTGCATTTCTGGTGGCCATTTCCCTGCGCTTTATCCAGTTGCACAAGCAGCCGACAATCAGACAGAAGACTATTATTCCAAACGAAATGAACATGATACGACCGGTACCAAACCCGGTATTAGAATCCGGCATGTCGATTGTCGACTGTGTGGAATCACTGTTCTCCTCAAAAAGGCATTGATCCTGTTTGATTACTTCGTTGTAGGAACAAATGTATCCGCTATTTTCACCATACATCTCTCGACAGTCATAATCAGTGCAGCACACTGTCGTACAGCGAAATCGAAGTTCATCTCTAGGAGTAGTGACGCATCTCTTATTTGGTGAACAATCGTGTTTGGTGCGACAAACACCGTCTCCACAAGTTCCAAAAACACAAAGCCCCTCCGCTAGCATTGTTCCAGTCTCTGTCTTTTTACAGCAGCTTTGCGCTCTGTAAGGGCACTGGAAGCTCCAATGACACGCTAAAGAAAAACGTAAGTGCAGGAAACAACCATAAAGACACAGAGTAATATGCGCCACCTTCATGTTTAGCCTCCTAACTGTACGTGTCGCTGGTACTTATACAAAGCAAAATGCATTGTTGTTGAAGACACTCAAATATGTAGTAAACGTTGCATAACGAGCCGAGCTTGTTACTTAACCTATCTGAGTATCTTCCTGACGGGGGGAGGGGCGGTTCCGAAAGAGTTTTCTGCGCTGGGTTGGAGAATTCATTCCGAGAGTTTTTTAAAGGGAGCATGGCTGACTATGCAGTGAATTGTGACCAATTCATATAGCCTTATCTTGGGTAATTAAACCGGAGTGTGTTAAAAACTCCGTTTGTTTGCCAATTATTTTTGCACGACTTTTAAGACATCGTTCATTATCATCACCATCATCGTCATCTTTATTTTTGCACGGTAATACAAACATCAGGCATCATTAATTAATACTGAAATAGATATTACTGCCATTATAGTGAAAGAAAAAGGAAAACAAAATCTAAATATAGCGTATCCCTTAGAGACTATTTTTATACAACTTTGGTGTTTGTAATACAAATATTAGTACCTATAAGTATAGGAAATAAAACTAAGCCTTTGTTTAATATTTAAAAATTAACTGTTTCCAAACTTTTGCTTGCAGGAAATTCGAGGCTGTTTCAAGAAATACAGCCAATTTTTCTTTAAAAGTTAGCACGTGGGAACAACAAGCTTATTTATTGTAAGAAGCAACAATATCACTTCTTTGAATCGATGAATCTTAAAGATTATTAACCGGATGCAAGACCATACATTTATAATATATGTGAGCTTTAACACGTTGACGTCGAGTTTCTGAATTACCCCAAATCTTTTTTTTTTTTAATTACCTGGTTAGCGTCAGCAGTTTTAATGGAATAAGCCGCACGATTTTAAGTCTCTCCAATTTGTCAAATACTGTTTTTTTGCAACGCTGGCTACCCCATACAACATGGCAATAGTCGAACTGTGATTGAACTAACCGTGACTATTATCATATGCAAGGTTGCAAGAGATCGTAAGAGGCACACAGTGGCTAATTATAATTCTGGGCTTTAATAGTTCAGTACCAGAAGAAATGTTTCTGCGATATTGCGTCCATATGATCACTTTACCAAACGTTAATATTTCGTCAGTAAATACACCAAGAAATTGTGCAAAATTAACCATATTCAATTATCTACCATTAATTTCCAAACTGGGGAAGCGGATAGACTGTTCAGTTATTGCAAATTAATTTAAGTTCAGTTTTTGTCATGTAGAGTATTAATCTATTGGCAGGTAGGAAGTGGTTTATATTTGACAAATATCGATTCTGAAAGAAGCCTACTTGGAACACTGAGACATCTATATAGTAGATGAGCATCATCTGCATACATGCTTGGTTCTGAATTTGATGAACAATCGGAGATCTACGAGATCATATACCGGATTGGCTATTTTTTGTGTTTTGCGGGAAGTAATTTTTTCTATTAGGACAGATTGGTTTTTCTTGCTTGGAATTAATTTTGCGATTTTCATCGTTGAAAGTACCCAGTACCCATCATTATTGATCATATTTTCGTTTTTACTGAGTACGTGCAGAAATACATATTTTCAAACAATACTACCGTGTGCGTACCCTATGTAAAACCATTATTTCATTGACGTATACCGTTTCGTTTCTGAACGAAACAGACAAGTTGTAATTGAACAGACAAGATTTCTTAGTGCTGTATTTTTGTGTAGCGTATTTAACTTGGTTCTGAATTTGATGAACA